TATCTTATATGTATATGTATATCTCAAGATATATATATATATATACAGCTTGAGATATATATATATATAGCTCGAGATATATATATATATCTCAAGCAAAAAGAAAAAGAAAATAACAAGTATTGGTGGGAAAATAAGGAAATCGGAACCCTTCTGCACTGCAGGTGGTAATGTAAAATGATGCAGTCACTGTGGAAAACAGGTGCACAGGCAGTTGCTCGATAAGTTAAATATAGAATGACCATATGACTCAGCCATTCCACTCCTGGTATATACCCAAAATAAATGAAAAGAGGGACTCAAACAAATCATGGTTCAAGAACATTCATAGCAGCACTAGTCACAAAAGGTGGAAACAACCCAAATGTGAACACAATGTGGTCTATCCATACAATAGAATATTACTCAGCCATGAAAAGGAATGAAACACCGATACACACCACGACATGGATGAACCTTGAAAATGCTATACTGAGTGAAGGAAGCCAGACACTATGACCATATTGTGTATGAATCCACTTATGTGAAATGTCCAGCACAAGCAAAAGCATAGAGACAGAAAATAGATTAGTGGTTGACAAAAGCGGAGGGAGGGGAATGGGAGTGACTGCTAATTGAGGACGGGGTCTCCCTTTGGGGTGATGAAAACATACCAGAGCCAGAGGTTGCACAACATTGTGAGTGCACTAAATGCCACTGAATTGTTCACTCTAAAATGGTGAATTTATGTCATGTAAATTTCACCTCCATTTTTAAAACTTAAAAAAAATAATAATGACCAAAAACGTGCCTATGGTTAGAACAAAGCCTAGCAGCGAAGGACAGGGGTTCCTGTTGGGGATGGGAGTCCAGGAAGGCCTCACATAGGAGGTGACATTTCTGCAAAGCCCTGAAAGGAAGTGACCGATGGAAATCACAATTGCAAGGTCTACAGGTAGAACCAAATATCAAAGTGAATTAAAAACTTGTTCAAGATTCTTTTTAAATAAATAAATAAATAAATAAGTAAATAAATAGATGAAGAAAGAAGGGAGCGGTGGGGAATAATTTAATAAGTTTAGGGGCCTGTGGGGCTCCTAGATGGGGCCACCACACACTTGCCCCTCAAGGGTTTGCCCCGCCCCTTCTTGGCCCCGCCCCCCAGCACCTGGAGGCCGGGAGGGGGCGCCCGCAGGGTACAGAGAGGGAGCAAAAAAGACTGTCCTAAGTTTTCGCGGAGCTTTATCCTTCCCACTGCTACCGGCACCCCGAGACCCCTGCAGCTCCCAACTTTCAGACACCCCTGCGACCCCGCCTCCCTCTGGCCTCTCGGAGTTCCCCCAACCTCCTTGCTCCTCGAAAATCTCACAGACTCCTCCACTGCCCCCAGGCTCCGCAGGACCCCTGCCATGGCCCGCTCGTACGGCAGCCGGGTGCTGGCCGCGATGATCCTGCTGGGCGTCCCAGCGGCCGTGCTGGCGGCGCTGGGCGCGCAGG